GACCGAAAGGTAGATCCCCATCTGGCGTACAGCTCCCACAATGCTTTGCCAGCTGGGGTTTTACCATTTTCCCATCCCTGCAGGGTTGTATTTAGCACTGAGCAGTGTTTGTGTGTTTGAATGTAAGCATGTTTGTGCATGGAGTATGTGTGTGTTAATGAATGGGTGGCGTTTAAATGCAAGTATGTCTTTATGTGTAGTGTTGGTATTTTAATAAAGTGTGTATTTGTATATAGTGTAGACATTTGTATGTATTGTTGATGTTTGGATGCAGGGGTGTATTTGTGCGTAGTGTTGAAATTTGAATGCGGAGATGTATGCAGTTATGCATAGACACACTATGACACACATGCAGTTACACATACATATACATACAATGAAACACATAACGATATAATGACACACAGATACTCACTGACACACATGCCGATACACAGACATACACTGACATACAGTCACACACAGATACACACACAGACAGACAGACAGATATTCACACTGACACATACAGGTGCACAGACAGATAAACTGAAACACAGACAAATACAAAGATACACACCCTTACACACACAGACACATAGATACACACACTGACACACATGCAGACACACAGATACACAGTCAAATACACACACAGACGCAAACAGATAGATGCACACTCACATACTGATTCCAATTACTATCCCCACCTCTCCTCTGAGCCCCAGCTTCTCCCTTTCCCCTGTCACCGGAACCAGGCTGCATTAAGTTAAAGAAGAGACCCATGTGGGTTATAGACAATGATGAACAATTCGCCGGGTGGCAGAGCTGTGTAAACTTCCAATACCCTCCAAAGCAAGTAGTCCTTCAAACAGAGAGAAAAAGAGAAAGAAGGAGGCACGAGCCCCCAACCGACGACCAGCTTCTGTGCATTATACAGCACCATCCATAGGACCTATGAGGCAGCATAACTCAGTGGTGGAAATACTGGTGTTTTGTGTCAGGCCCCCCTAGCACTCTGGGCCCAGCTGCAGTCGCACCGGTGGTAGTTCTGCCAGTGATGTGATTCTTCAACCATTTTAAAGTTATATTTGAGCTACAGCTTGGCTACAGATCAGACATTTTGTTTATTTTAGACACTGCTTGGGCATGCCAGTCCTACAAAATACATTTTTTTGGGAAAAAAAAGCGTCTTGCACTGAAACATTATATTCTTCTATCACTGTGTTCCTGCAATTAGGTAGAGGTTCTATACTTCACCATGCTCTTTATATATATATAATACTTGTCATATGTATTAATGTCCTGTTCACTGTGAATATGATTTGTCATTGAACCGTTATTTTTTTGAGTGCCAATTAAGATGATCACATTAATAAGTAAGCACCAAAACAATTTTAGGTTAATGAAGCATATATATATATATATATTATGACCTTGGAGTCTCAGTGCTCAATTCTCTTCCATTTAGGAGTTAAATCACTTTGTTTATACAGCCCTGGCAACATATCTCCTGCCTCTGACTCACACCGCCTAACTACACAGTTCCTGTAAAGAAAGCTCTAAAATTGAACTTTTATTTATTGCGCAGTGTGTTTAATTTAGAATTCCTTATCTCCTGCTCTGTTATTTACCGCTAGAGCATCGAGGAGCCTCCTGTGTGTGATTAAAATTCAATTAACATAGCAGAAGATAGGAGCTACTAAAGTAAGTTAACATGTGATGGAAAATGAAAGATTTTTTTTTTCAATAAGGGTATTTGAGTCACAGCCAGAGGAGGTGTGGCTAGGGCTGTATAAATAGAAACAAAAGTGATTTAATGCCTAAATGGTAGAGAATTGAGCAGTGAGACTGCAGGGGGTGTGATCTATACATCCACGCTGCTTCATAAAGCTAAAATTGTTTTGATGCCTATAGTATTGCCTTAATAAGGGCGATAAAACATCTAGAAAAACTGGAATTGTTTTCTTTATAAAGGAATTGTTTTCTTTTTTTTTTGGGCCGTTAAAGTTGTTTTGGTGCTTAGAATATCCCTTTAAGGGAAATGTAATTTCCTAAGAATATGTAAGTAAAACTCTACTTAGGAGTGCTAATGCCCCAGCCAATGGGGCATAGTGTGATTTTAGTCATTTTAAGTGAAAATACAGACCTCTTGAACTGGATTCCTTTTCATAAAAGTAGCATGAATGTTATTAACTCCACAGGTATCACATTAGATTTTCCATGGCTTGGACTCCAGGCTAAAGATCTGTTTCTACTCTTCCATTCATCACAGTTTAAGCTCTAAGTCTTTGAATCATCACTCTGATGTCACAGGATGCTACAACTGCCATATTGTATCCCAGCATAATACACAATACATAGAAGAATATACCCAGGCCATCAACACTGCAAATATTTTTGAGCTTGTTGAATAGCAGTCTGCAATCCGAAAGGGAGTGACCTGCTTAAACCAAAACAAACACCAAATCTAAATTAATTTGCTATAAAAGATGTGTCCATTATTTGCCACTAGTATTTACTGGTTAGGCCTCAATTTAATAAGTTTCCCAAAATGATTCAATACTCCTAGAAAAGATTTTCAAAGGTTGTAGATTTTAAATTGCAAAGTTGTTCTAACTGTATTAAATCATTTGGTATGCTTATGAAATTGAGGCCTTAGTCTGATATAATGCAAATATGTAAGAATCACATAAAATCCTGTTTTTTTATTAATGTGGAGATGCCACATATTACACTGAGAAGAACATGAGGGATAAACACATGGCTTTGAGTGGGGGAAAACTGTGATCAAAGAGATTATTATTGTATTATTTATATAGAAACTGGCTCATGGAATTCCGGTTATTATTACTACCAGAAGGTGGCCAGTGGATGCCATAATTCTACTAAGCAACATCATAGGCCAATAGTGTCTTACCAGGAAATTCTGACAACGACCATATATTAGCAGCAAAAAACTGTAAAGCAGCACTGTCGTGTTTTTTCTTTTAGTTTTTTTTTCCTTATGCCCCTTGTGTCTTAATGATTATACGGCCTTTGCCTATATTTTTATTTGTTATATCTTTTTCCTTGTGCTGAACCTTAATTTATGGGTGATGATATTTTGTTCTTCTCAGACCATGATGTCGGCAGTTTGCCCTCCTGTGGGATTCTATTGACTTAAATGAACACTATAGCTTTAGGAATACCATGTTTTCACTTGCAGGGTTAACACTAGAGGGACATGGCACCCAGACCACCTCACTGAGATGAAGTGGTTTGTGCGCATTTAGAATCTCTTTAAGGATTGTGGGCAAATTAGTTCAGAAACTGAATTAGAATTTTGCTCAAGTTCTGCCCATTGTCAAACATCATCATACCCCTTAAGAAAACATTTTCTCAACTTTATCGTTTATAATATTAAAAAATACTAAAATGAGTTTCATAAAACCAAAAAAATTTAAAAAAAATAGAAAGAAAGAAATGGAAAACCAAAGATTATTTTAAAACCAAACCCTGCAAAGAGACTCTTTAAAGGACATCTGTTACCTCAATACTAATTTTAATAGAATAAGCCTTTCATCAGGCTTTAAAAATAAGTAGTTGTTTTTGTTTAAATAAAGTATATAGGAAAAATGAGAAAAACGTATCCCTACCTTTAGTATATGACAGAACCCTTCAGCCAAATATTGTACATGCACCTTGGATCTGTTTGTTTGAAAACTTAACAGTCTATGGTCTTCCCTGCTTTACTCGCTGCACAGAAACAGGGAAGACCATAGAGATGTCCAATTTTCAAACACTGTCTGAACCAAGGTGCAAGTACATGGCTGAAGCAATCCTGTAAGACACCTTGGCAGGGATGAGTTTTCTTACTTTTTACATATACATAATTTAAAAAAAATCATATTCCTTTCAAAACTTGATGAAATGGTTAGTTTGAAGGTAATAGATGTCCTTTATGTGACCACTGTTATTCACTACTTTGTTATGCCCTAGATTTGTGATGACCAGTGGATTTTAGTATGAGGGGGTATTTCCATTTCCATTTTCCATACCAAAAGTAACATCTTTGAAATGGCCTGTATACTTGATTCATTAGTAAGATAAATGGGATAATATAGAAAGGTTTGTCAGATATCTTCGGCACTTTCTTCTTTATAGTGGACAAATCCTGTGCATGATAAACAAGTCACCCTTGAACAGACGGTTTTCTCAGCTTACACAATAGCTTGGTATCTGATTTTTTTTTCATAATTATTTCCCAAAGGCCCACTTAAAGCAGAGTAAAAATATTGATTTATTTGTAACATGCAGTTCAAAGAGACTTATTCTAGAGGGGCACGGCCTTCGCTCAACTCTGAAATGTTATTTTCCTCTCCTCAAATCTGTAGGTAATTTTATAGACATAGCATCTATTATAACTGCCTAGAAAACTAAAGGAAGGTATTCATTAATTTGCCAATATCTCCAACTAACTAGCCTTACATTCTATGATGGTATGACAGACAAAACAAGACCATAAACATTAAACAACACTTTGCTTTGTCTGTACTGATATAATGAAGCAAAGGTTAATCTAACTATGTATAGTCTAAAACCCACAACACACAAATTATTGGTCTTAGCTGTTCAACACTACCCACCAATACCATTTATTGACTTTCCCTTGTCTGCGTCAACTCAAACATGACTATAAATGTCTGAAGTGTGAAAGCTGTATTTACAACTAAACTCTTCTGACTCAGTGCTGTTTGCAGCAAGAATATCTATTTTCTTACTGGCCCTTAACCATCACAATTGACAGAGAAGAACTAATAACAATAGGCTGTTGATATGTTTAGTATACAGAGCTCATAAAAAAAGCCCAACAGGGTTATTCAATAAAGTGTGACTTGTCAGGCATTCAAAGTGAATTTGACATTTTAGCCCCAAATAGCTCCAATAATTTGGAGATAAAATGTGTGGCAGCACATTATGCAGTGGGTCAGTTGATCCTCAGGACTTACCAATGGAATTCTCTGTTCTATTCAAGTTGCCCCAGGATCATTGATGAGACCGCTGTTAAGCTAATGACTATATCTCCCTCAGCTTGGTTGGTCTCTGTGGGCAGGGATTGATTTTTCAGCCTATTTCTCCTTCCAGGCGGGTCCCCTCTGCCTGCATCGTCCTTCAGGTAGATATGGATCCCCCTGCCTATGCCATCTTCCAGGCATGTATGAATTCCTCTTGGTATGCCATCAATCCAGCAGGTATGGATCCCTCTGCTGATGCCATCGTCTAGCCAGGTATGGATCCTTCTATCAACATTACCCTCGAGGCAGGTATGGATCCCTCTTCTTCCGCTGTCCTTCAGGCAGGTATAAATTCCCACGTGCACCATCCTGTGGGTAGGTATGGATCCCTCTGCGTGTGCTGTGTTCCAGACATGGATAGATCCTTCTGCCAATGCTATCATTTGAAGCAGGTGTGGATTCCTCTACCCATGCCATCCACTGGCAGTTGTGTTCACTTTACCTATGCCATCTTTCAGGCTTCCAGTATCTTCAACTGCCAAAACACTTAAGGCTCACAGCCCAAGTGTGAGCCTTAAGTGTACCAAGGTCCAAAGGTCCAATGATTCAGTTACAATGGGTACCCTCAGAAACCAAGACAAAAGATCTCATCAAGGGAGAACTTTTAAATAATACTACTGGAACTCGGCATCACATCACTTAATGAATTTGAGAAGGGAGCTTGGGGATAGATGGCCTCACCCCTACCTGGTAACTCTGAGTTCTACGCAATGCATACAGTATGGAAGGGCCTCCCATGACTAAGAGACCATTTGCTTAAATAATTCTGATGAGAGAGCTGATTGGCCCACGGACATTATTTATTTGATATTTTCTAGATCTAGAAGACGTATAACTGCAGATAATGAATATCTTCCTTTGTATTTTTTCTTCAGAATAATACAGAGTTATGCAAAGTCTCCAAGCCAGTCAGTGAGTACTGCCAGCAAATAGCACAGATATTTTATTCCGACTTCTTTCGTGAACTCAATTTCTTCAAATACACCTATTTTTCCTTCACTTACTAAACTGTTTATAATTTAGTTCAACTGCTATTCAAAAAAATACATTGCACAGGTGTTGCTAGCGGAGGATCGTTAAGGGCTGAAGCCACGGATGGGAGGTTCTTTAGCCCCCGAGTCTCTATAGTTGGTGGAAGAGGTAGGAATATATTAATATTTTCAGTTTTAATTTTTTTTTATTTTATACCTGACACATGAAATATCTCCACTTCTCTGTTAGAGTAGGGGTTCAACAAACTTTCCTTTGGGTCAAGCTCCTAATGTTTCTGGAACCTAGAAACCCCCCCGGCTGCACTGTTTCAAACTTTAGTGCAGAAGGTGCTAATTAAAAGTTAACTGATTTTTTATGCCAGGCCAATAAAATGGAAGGAATGCCTGTGTTTAAAAAAACCTATACAAAGTTTTGAACCTAGAAAGTACATGGACTTTATCATGCTGATGTTTTAATGAGAAGTAAAATGCTATGAACTTTCTTTTTTTTTTTTAAAACCAAACATAAATTCTTACGCAACTAAAAATTTGACACATTTCTAGAAGCAAAGTCCAAAAGTACTTTTAGACAGCACATTGAAGAGACATTTGCACATACAATGACTGAAAAAATTTCTCAAGTTTTTTTTTTTATAAACACAGGCATAGCTCAAAGTGTCAGGTTTTGCAAAGATTCTCGTATTTTGAGTATTGCCATCTGTTAGGAGGTTCATCAACGTAATTTCTGCTCAGTTCGCTAAAATATTTATTGGTAAATTTACCTTTTACAGAAATATAATCATAAAACACTAAAATAGCATAATTTAGACCAATGGAAGTAAAACTAATTACGGTACGATATTCCTGTTTAAATACATGGTGAATGTGAGAAAACCCACCGGGATTTCGGGGTTTTCTCTGCGCATTCATCTATTTGGTTTATTAGTTTATTTATGCCACCTTGGTTCGGTAGATTGAAACTACCGAACACCGACCACCCTTCTGGCTCATTGACTTCAAAGGAGCCCGTCAATTAAGCGCTCTCTCAGGGTGGCCGTCATTCGTATATACGAATGCCATGCGGCAGAGAAAACGGCGGCCATCTTGTTTGTTCAGGACAAAGGCAGCGGGACTTGGCCGTCAAGTGTCTGGAACTAAAATCGGACACTCGACTTCCCGAACACCGGTCTCAAACATACGAACGATGGAACGTTATATCCTGAACAGCTATGAGAGCTCTTTTCGGTACTTTTATGCATTCATATGAGGGGAACAATCGCTCCTATAAGCCAGGAGGCTCCGTTCATGGATTATGGAGTTATTAGACATTTTCAGAATTGACCGACCGCACACACTGAATTCGTGGAACTATTTTCGGCAAGAGCTTCATGTGTGGTCGGTAACTTAAGACTTCCACACTTTTTAAGAACCCCTGAACCGATCTGGGTGAAATTTGAATATGTTGTTCCCCCAGATCGGGGCTATCAGGAGATATTACATTTGTGGGGATACCTTAAGCATAAAGGGGTGTTCTGAGTTTTGGGGAAAATGTGTGCACTTCGCCTGGAGATAATTGGGTTATTCCTTAACTTATCTCATTATCTCACAGGCGGAGACAGGGAGTGTTTAAGTGTAACTGTATCTTATGATTGGCTATTTGGTTTGTGTACTGTGGGAGGTCCTCCTGCAAGGGAACATCCATAAAGGCCTCTGTGGTCTCCATAAACATCATTCTTGTTACACTCTTCATCATGTTTTGGCTGGTGTTTGGGTACCTGATTACTACTGGGGGAAAAGCTGTACTAAAGGATTTAGTTTCTTTGGACTTTAACTACCGACCAGAAGAACTGAACGGCGCGCTATAATCACTCTGGCTCTCGGCCGTTCGGATCAAATCATACGAACCCATAGCTACCACTTCAGGGTTCGTTATAACTGGTGGCAAGCAGCGGGATTCACAGCTCAAATGGACATCCCAAACCGGAATATACCGAATGGCTCAGCAGTATGAGCTACTAAAGAGGACAACAACACTAAAAGATTTGCTGGAAGCTCGGGGCACAGTGGCAAGCAACAAGAACAAAGCCACGCTAATTGCAGAACTAAGGCAGAGTGACAGAGCCAGCAGCATGGAAGGAGAGCAGCCAGAGGAAAACGAGTTCCAGAGGGAGGTGAGATGGATGATCGGTCTACTGGGGCCCAATCCATCACAAGAGGCGGTGGTACAGATCATCACTCATGCCAAAGATTCCCAGCGTGCTTGGGACTCAAGAGCAGGATCGTTGCAGGGGGATTCCCTAACTTCCTCGGGATATACAAATGACCCCACACTATCAGGGTACTGAAGGGAGGCCGACAAACCTGAAGGGAGTCAGGAGCGTTTTGAATGGGATAAGGGCTTGTTATACCGGGTCACAGGGACACCCAAGTCTCTAAGCAGCAATTAGTGGTACCCCGGAAGTTCAGGGCAGAATTACTTAAGTTGAGCTATGATATCCCCTTAGCCAGCCATTTAGGGGTTATCAAATCCAGATAGATTGACCCAAACCTTTTTCTGGCTAGGGATATCCCAAGATATCAAAATTTATTGCAGGACCTGTGACGTGTGTCAAAGGACAGGGAGGAGGGGAGGTCGCCAAAGGGCCAAGCTTCACCCGTTACCCATCATTGAGGAACCCTTTCACAGAGTAGCTATAGACCTTATAGGCCCACTTAGCAAGCCCAGAACCTCCGGGAAGGGCTACATCCTCACCGTGGTAGACTATGCTACCCGTTACCCAGAGGCAGTAGCCCTGTCCAACATCGAGGCGGAGACCGTAGCTGAGGCATTAATCAAGATTTTTACTCGGGTGGGCTTCCCCAGGGAGATCTTATCTGACCAGGGAACCCAGTTCACTGCAACTGTGACCCAGCAGTTATGGCACAGTTGTGGTGTAAAACCCCTGTTCAGTTCTCCGTACCATCCCCAGACAAAAGGCTATGTGAGCGTTTCAATGGTACCCTTAAACAGATGCTTAGAACGTTCACAGCTTGAAAAAAATAATTGCAGCGCACTCAGACTACAAAAAATATAACACAAAGAAGGCTTCTAAATTCAGAATAAATATGGGGATTTAGTTTCACCATATGGCCATATGATGTTAAGCCCACCACTGCTTTCAAAGTACCCCAATGTTGGTGGATCCTACGCTAAAATGTGGGGGACAAATTAAATAGTACTAGTGTAAAAATAAAGTGTATTATTAAATCCTTGTAAGAGCAAAGTGAGTATACAAAAATAAAGTGATGAAAGCAATTAAAAACAGTGTTGAAACTAAACAATTAAAGTGTTAGCGCTAGAATGAGTATACTCACTATTGCAGATGATATCTGTGTTGATGATACTGCGGCAGCACCTTTCATGCAAAATGCAGGTTTCGCATGTGCCCCCAATCCTTTCTCTGTACACAGTATATTTGGGGTTAAGCACCCCGCCCATGCCCCCCAGCTTCAGAGGCCCCTTTATAGGTGGCCACAGGTATGTATATAGAGGAGGAGTTTTCAATAGTCAGGTCACTTTTATTATTTTCTCCATTCAACATAGACATCATCTGCAATAGTGAGTATACTCATTCTAGCACTAACACTTTAATTGTTTAGTTTTAACACTGTTTTAATTGCTTTCATCACTTTATTTTTGTATACTCACTTTGCTCTTACAAGGATTTAATAATACACTTTATTTTTACACTAGTACTACTTAATTTGTCCCCCACATTTTAGCGTAGGACCCACCAACATTGGGGTACTTTGAAAGCAGTGGTGGGCTTAACATCATATGGCCATATGGTGGAACTAAATCCCCATATTTATTCTTAGATAGGCAATTTAGAAGCCTTCTTTGTGTTGTATTTTTTGTAGTCTGAGTGCACTGCAATTATTTTTTTCATGTATGTGGTCTCCTAAAGGGGTGTGGCCTTGCTGTCTGCAGGGCTCGGGCTGTGCCGTGACACATACTGATATACACAGACTGACATTCTGACACACACACAGACAGACATACCGAAACTAGAAGGTGGTCTGGTGGTCCCTGACTTCCATCTTTACTACCAGGCTTCCCACTTACAATGAATACTGAAATGGGTCGAGGACGGTCAAACCTTGTAAAGAGATTGAACAAGTTCAATCTGGTGGCTCCCTGAAAGCATTGACATGGATGAACCCAACGATAGCAAAATGCATCTTGCATCATCAACCACTGGTGAAGGCCACCCTGGAAGTGTGGCACAGAACGGCCTTGCAGATGGGCCTCTCATCCTTCCCTTCCCCCTCTACCCAATCACGGACAATCCTGAATTAACTCCACAGGCATTCACGTGCCTGACACCACTGACACACATCCAAGTTAGACACATGATGAAGAGCGGTAAAATCAAACCCTTCAGTGACTCCCTGGACGGCCCACACCTTATCTTCCTACACGGACTGAAATACAAACAAATCCAACAGTTCCTGAACAGTATTCCACAGAAACCCAACCTCATTGACCTAATTTGAATACCTGTGGACAGACCCGGACCCACTTCTACACACCATCTCCCACCTATACACTCTGCTCCTCCACAATAGGAACCTTCCACCACCTTCCTACATGGGTAAATGGGAGGTAATGACACTTTCACAGAACAACAATGGGTCAAAATATGTGACCTTATGCACCACTGCACACTGACAATAAAACTTTAATTTTCAAAAAAAAAAGTTACTTTATATCATATGCTTTGTTCTGTAATTATATGGAATTGTATCTTACCCCTCCTTTCCCTTCCCTTTTTCTTTCTATATCCTTCTATAATTTTATGAAAACTCGATAAAATTCAAATGAGAATTTTTCTTTTATATGTGTTTATTTTTTCTTGCGTATGTATGTTAGTGCACATTGTTTTTGTCATGGTCAAGATATGTATTCGCAACAGCAAAATCACATGTACAGATAACAGCGGATACTGAGGTGATTAATCCACCTAAACATATTAATAATGAGGGTTTGAAGGTTCTGACTAAATCTCCTGGAATAATATAATGAAAAGTTGGCAAGCCTATGGGCCTCTATGCTTATGGGGCCCCCGTGTAGCTGCCCAGCGTGCCCATGCATTAAGACAGCCCTGGTGGTGGAGGGTAACATACAAGGCACGTTTAAAGTGTTACTCCAAGCACCAAGGCCACTTCAGTGTTTTTAAGTGGTCAGCAAAGACCCTATATGTGAATTGTTTTTGTATAAAACACTAAACATACTTAGATATTTAATGTTGCTGCCATGGGTGTGACTACACCTTCAGCAGTGTCTATAACCAGTCTGGAACAAGAGTTCTAGGCTGTTTAATGTTAATTCTGTGCATGTTCCTTGCTCAGACCTTTATTTATTAGCTGAGAGCACTCAGCTGATGTTCTTAGCCAATGAATGACAGGCAAAATTGTAATCCAGATTTTCATTAGAGGAGGCAGAGCACGTGGCAGGATTCAGGTAAAAGCAAACCATTGCACATTGGCTTTCCCCATTACCAAGGGACTCCTAGCATCATATCCACTACAGTGAGCTGTACATTAACCCATTAAGGAAACACAAACCCCTAAACCAATAAAGGACCAGGAGACGCCCAACAGGCTATATGCTTGACAGCCCTGACTTAGAGTTTTAAACAGTTTACAGTTTTCACAGTCTCATCCGAACATTCTAAACATAGAAGGGTTGTCGTTAATTAGTTAGTTATTTCTTAACGTTAATTCGTTTTTTAAATATACATGATTCTGTTGTCATTGTTCTTGACTCGCGTTGAATTTATAATTTACAGCTGTTTAGTTTTCCGGTACCACTGGCGTGATTTATAGGAGATTAGCATTTGTTTTACAGATGAACACATCCTTCAGAGCCCATCAGCATAATAAAATCTAAAAAAATATTCTATCTGTACAAGTATAGTCATCTGCCAGCATTTGTTTGAAGAAAACATATTTATTCTCATGCCATGCATCTCACATATTTTAACTATAATAAGGTCTGTCCTAAACATAGATTACTAAGTCACTACACAAAACCTAAACAACTTTCCGCTAGCTCATGTTAAAGATTTATGTGCTTTTGGAGACAAAGTACTTTTTAAAAAAACAAAAAGTTATAGCTCGTATAAAGCTTGCTCCACCTGTAAGGAAAAATAACTGTGAGTTATGAATGTATACTTTAACAGCATTTAATATGAGGACATTTCTGCGATGTACTCCAAGAAGGAATGTACTTTTACACTAGATGAAAGCTGAAACCTAGTCCTGTTTTATGACGGATTAATTTAATACAATAATAAATATCTCAACTTGTGCAAAAGACTGCACAAAACTGCAATCATACTATTTTGACTACATACAGAACTGGAAGATGAAAACACAAGACATTTTTTCTGAGATTAATTAGTGGACTGTTTGTAGCATAGTGGTGGAAATAAAGAAAGGTTTCTGGAATTAAAGAATGAAATTTGCGGTTTTAAAATAGGTACGTAAAAGATATGTTTTACATTATAGTTTTGAAATCATGAGAGGGCTCATATATATGTTATGTGTTTATGTGTGCAATTACGTATTTATTTGTGCAACAAAATGTTTTACTTCTAACCGACTGACATTTTGACCTCTATAGGAATTTTTTCAAAATCAAAAAATATAATTATATAGAAAAAGAAAAGAATAAATCCATCAATAACTATTGTGCTGGTAGACTTTATAAACAGAACTCTTTGCTAAGAGACAAATGCAACATATGGTTAAACCTATGAACACCCAATAACCATGAAAAGGTTTGCCATATATCCTTTCTATTCTCCCCAGGAGGACATTTGAGGCAAGGGACTGAGAGATGAGAAATAAAGAGAGAAACAGTGATAAATCTTTAGCTGAAAATACATGCAAATTATTTAGAATTATTTTTTGCACTTATTCATATATATATATATATATAACCAAATATATATATAACCAAACTATACTTCTCTTGGACATCCTTGATAGCCTAATTAAATATGGCTGTAGAACCTATATGGTGCCATCTGTTGGTAGCAACTGTTATGTGCACTACCTAAATAGCAAGATTTAGTAATTTGCATATTCAGGTAGATTTGCATATTGCAATTTCTGCAGGCAGGAGAGATACTTTGTGTTGATTATTGTCTTCCCTATCCCTTTATAAATATGTTATAAGAATTTCCTGTATATCTTGTGACATATTTTGGTTATTTGAATTTCATTATGTTTGTCACAAAAAGTTTTATGTAATGCGCATATGGGCTAGTCCCGAGTTAAAATACAGGTACTCCTCACTTACCGACATTTTTCCGTTTGTATGGCATGGTTGTAGAACAAATTGGTCGGTAAGTGAGGAGCTAGAGTTTACCTGTTCTGGTGCGCTTGTCTATGTTCAGGGACATGTCCCCGAACATAGATGAACGCACAAGAGCAGGGAATCCCTCTAATCTATGCTCGGGGAAGTTTCCTCAAACATAGATTAGAGGGACTCCCTGCTCTGTTACTTCGGGGAAATGTCCCCGAACATAGACGAACGCAGTAGATGAGGGAATCCCTCTAATTCCCATGACAGCTCACATTTACCACCCCACGAGAGAGCTGGTCATAAGTGCGAGCCGTCGTAAAACAGGTAGGTCGCAAAACAAAGACCACCTGTAAAGTGTTGTATTTTTAGGGATTCAGTAACAGAGTTTTTGGACTGTTGGCTGGCTGCATGACCCCTCTAGCCGTGAGATAAATCAAGAGAGCTAGGCCTGAGAGCTGCAAGTGCCTTTGTAAATTGCAGGCAGAGGTGGATACCTGCCTGGAAGAAGGGCTGCAGCAAAATAGGCAGAGGGGACGATACCTGCCTGGCAGTTGGGCTGCAGCGGAATAGTGTCATGGGAGTCATACCCCAACAAGCAGAAAATAGGAAACCCACAAAAGGTGGATTCGAAAGACGTATTACTGAGCCTTAGAATGGTCAGACTTAAAGGACCACTATAGGCACCCAGAACACTTCAGATTAATGAAGTAGTCTGAGTGCCAGGTTCCCCTCAGTTTTAACCCTACAGCTGAAAACATAGTAGTTTCAGAGAAACTGCTATGTTTACATTAGGGTAAATCCAGCCTCTGGTGGCTGTCTCACTGACAAAATGGGTTTGTTTTCTTGGCACTATAGGATCCCTTTAACGTATTAAATTAGCAAGAATCAAGGTCAAAAACAAATTAAGGTCAGGGAGACAGAAAATATACATAGTCAAGACAAACCCGGGTCAGGATGCCAGAAATCACAAGTCAAATACAAAGCCGAGGTCAGGATATTAGAAATTACAAGTCAAATACGAAGCCCGGGTCAAACACAGGAAATCTCTAGGAGCACTAAACAATGATATAACAAGAAACCATGACAGAGCAATGAATGGGGGCTTAAACAAGTCTTTAATAGGCATGCCTATGTTTGTGACTCAAAATAGATTAGGATCAACACCTTACCCCCCCAGCTCCGCGCTAGGAACCACTTACACCCACTCAACCAAGTGGAGCTGTGCCTACTCAGCACCCAACCCGCCATAGAAATATATCGCACTCTCTCTCAATTTCTGATACCACAGAGCCATACATGTCCCTGACACCTACACTAACCACAACCATCACTAAAGACATGACCATGGCAGTAACAAACTACATTACCATAAACAAAAAATCACAGCCAACATCGCTATCCCACCAATGTATGCAGAAGATTAAAAACAGTGATATGCTTCATTGAATGTATTATACGCAATATATATATCTTGTTGACTGTGAAAAAATAAAGAATAAAAAAAATAAAATAGATTAGGATCACAATGATGACGTGGTCCCTTTAAGAGCGGGTGTGATGCCACGTCTATATTCTCTTTATAGATGTTGTGGGGCATGTCCACATGGATCGGTCAGACCGCGCAGCAGGAGGAGGTGAGTGCACTTGACTGTGCCGCTTAGTCAGGGGCTGCGTGGCTCGATGGAGGTGAGTTTCCCTTAGCATGCGGCGTGGTTGCGTGGAGCAGTCGGACCGCATGGCAGAAGGAGTTCTGCACGGCTTGAGGGAGGTAAGTAATGCCACAAATAGGCAGAGGGGACGATACCTGCCTGGAAGAAGAGCTGCAGACTTGTTGGGTGGAAAAGCTCCAGAGAGACCCCAGTCAAGCCTCGGCGACTGGGGTTTTAGCGTTCCAGGCTCCCTTCCCAACGGTTAGGAAATGGATTGGGGGGAGGTACTCAGTTGGAGCACAGGCGCTCCATCACAACACTATACTAACAAATATAAATATATATAGGTTCTGCGAAGTATCTGTTCCTAGAATTGCACTCTCCTGGACAGAGATCTCCTACCTAAAATCTTCTTAAGCCTGTCTTGGGCATTACAGATCTGCGTGCTCCTATCACCACTTGAACTTCTACTTACTTTACTTTCCGCATAACTTCTAGCTCTTCTGTTAGACTTTAATATTTGTCCTTTCTTC